GGATTAGCATAAAATCGAGACCTATTCAGTCGATTTCAATTCGGAATAAGTAGTTCTTCTTATTAGCTCCAAACTTGGAATTTAAATTTTACTCAACTGTTCCCTTGGAATTATCTATAAAAGAGACATGAACAATTCTTATTTTTTCTGGAAGAATAGAATAATGAGCAAACTTTAAGCTTCAACAATTTTATGGTTACAAGGACACAACCATCAGAAGTATGATTAAAAAATACCAGGACGTCTGATAACCGGTTTATTAAAACAAAATCCTAATAACTTGAAATAGCGACTGGACAAACACAGACGGTCCGATAACAATAAATGTTCCGACTGGGCAGTCGGATGTACCGCAAAAAGATCGATTCGGATCGAGCGGGCTATGCAAATGAAGCAGAAACCGAAATTAGAAAGGATAATCAAGAAGGCGCGTGACCGCGAGTTCTTGATCCCAAATTTGTTCCAGGCAACGTTATCCTAACGCTGCATACATGTCTGGGTTTAACATTTAAAATAGTTTGGTTTTTAGTTTTTTATTTTATGACTCAGAAATGAGTATCAAAATTAAGTAGGTATAGTAGCAATGCCAATTTAATAGTAATGTTCATGCGGTGAGGTTGATAAAATGGCAGACCAGAACACCAAAGAATTATTAGAACTTTGGGGTTTAGCTACTTTAGTTGAAGAGTAAGTACTACTTTTGCTTTTTCAAAAACTGTGCCATATAAGGGATATACCATAATTAATAAGTAATTTAACGTTTTGTGGTAAAAAATGAAAGGTAAGATTAAGTACTCCTTTATACCTTGTAGTATTATGACTGTTAGTTCACATAGGTTCGACAGAATACGAATCCACTAAAGGTTAACTATTGCCTTGTAACAGTTTTTTACTATAAACATCCTTAACCTTAAAATTTATGGCTATCGATCACAAGTCCATTGCAATTATTAATATGGAAGTTAATGCAACCTGCATCTCGTAATCCTTTTTGGAAACATTAATCAGGCTAAATATTATCACTGTTTCAGCCATGAATTCCTGTATAATAGTATTAAGTCCATAATAATCCCAAAAGGATTAGGTGGAAACTAATTGTTAAGTTTACTATACAACGCATATAGGGTTGCCAACTTTTATTTTGGGATTTTCTGGGCAAGGTGATTAAAAATTCTGGACACCGGTACAAAATTATGGACATATTTTATTTGAAATTTTTTTTAACTTGGGAAAACACATAACTATTTTTTTTATGTTCGTTCCCCATTTGGTGTTTTTTTAAATCGCCTTTGCCACAGTAACCCACTTGAAATGTTTTTTTACAAATTTTGCAAAATCCTCTCGATAAACCAGTGGAAGAACTGCCGTCTTCTGTTACCCATGGAAATTCTGCTTCCCATTCTTTTCTATACTTGCACAGACGCCTAATTTTTTTTTTGAGGAGTTTCTGGATTTGACAAGGATGACGAGAATGACATAGTAACTAAGTAGGTACTGTCCTATTTTATTTTAAAATTATATCAAACAACTAATATAAAACGTTCTAATAAATTATACAAAAAATAGTCTTACCTTTTAAGAAAACTAAATAGGTCAGCAGCAGCAGTTCCGCAGTATTCCGCACGTTAATTGTCACAATCAAACGATTAATTAAACAAATCGATAATTATCTTAAGACAACAGTCGAAAGTTACTTATAAGACAGGACTGGATTATTCTCGATAAGTGCTGTCTTTCTCGCTCCTGCCTTATGTGTAAGAAAGGAGTGTGAGTGAGAAAGAAAAGAAGCATGGTTTCAGCCTTTCACGCAACGCCTACGGAAAAAGTCGAGCGCTCACGAGGCAGGCACGAATATTTAAATTCTGGCGGCACGAGGCATGGCTGGTACAACGTTGTCGGATTGTGGAAAAAATCCTTCGAAAAAATTGAAAAATGTGCCAACGTGAAAATTATGAACATTTTACGTCCAGCCAAAGGTATTGACTGGACGCTGGACAAATGAGCCGAAAAGGTGGACGTCCACCCAAATTCTGGACAGTTGGCAACCCTAAACGCATATATATGCATTCAATACGATAATTGTTTGGGTGATATTTACATAACATTACAGGGTGTTTTATCGTTAGAAACACAGTAAAATACTTTTTTCTACTCCCACCTTTAAAACGCCCTTTATCGTACATGTTTCCATGACACTAAGTGACCTTTTAAATAAAGATTGACAAGTTATTGCTTTATGGCGCTTTAGTCACGGGCTGAAGTTAGCAACATGTTTTTAGTCACGGACTGAAGTTAGTTTTAAGTTAATTGACAGTTGTCAAATGTCATACAATCGTTTCTTGTAAAATAATACTAAATGTGAAAATTATTTTATTTCAATACAAAAATACAAAATTATTAAATAGTTTCTCAACGCCAAAATTTTTAAAAGTTTATATGAACATTGTACTGCCCTTTTAATTTCGCCGGCAGTAAACTATAACTTAAATTCGGGCACGGACTCTACTGTAAAGTCCTCATAAAACATTTCCTTTACTTTCACTGTGAAAAACTGTTAATTTTCAAGATACATTTCGATTTATAACCTTTATAATTGTGTTTATAAAATGTAAAAATGTGACATTTAACAGTTTCCCCTGTTGTTTCATAGATGGCGCTCTATACAAATTTTTTATTTAAATCATTATAAGATAATAATAAGTATTTGTCGTAGAAAAAGTATAGTATGCACCTCGTTTATTAACTTTTCTATACACTCATTAACTTAAGCGCTCGCTCGCAAGCTCGCTCGTGCCTAAAATAAATTCGTGTATAAAATGGCGTTTATCAAACTTGATACATAATATACTATAATATACTATTTCTACTCCCATTATTGTACATGTTTCCTTGACATAGTAATAAAAAAATAATAATGGTATAATAATAAAAAAAAAAATAATATAATGATAATTATTTTGAACTAAAATAAGTAGTTGACCGGACAAAATGCATCGCAAGGCTTAAAGAGTAATGGCTGAACACTAAAATTGGATCTAGACCAGAGAACCCAATTTAAATAAATATGAGAGCAAGTCAAACTTTCCTGCAAAGTTTGATGGCCTCATGTCGAATATCTAACAAAAAAGTAGTTATAGAACTATAGTTAGTAAAACGGAAAACAAATATTATTTGGCTTGAATCAATAACAAAAATGTATCTGTGTTAAAATTAAATACAAATTTAAAACATATAATTTAATAATAACATTTATTTTGAATAGGTAAATTTTAAATTGAAATATATTATTTATGTAAATATTTAAATTCGTTCTATAAATAAAACTAAAATAATAAACCGTAATTTTATAAATCGTCAGGTGTATTTTTAAAATATACAGGGTGTTAACCAAATATTTAACTAGGTAGTAATGTTTAAGACTAGTTATTATTTTTAGACATATTTTGATATTTGGTTAATTGGAGCCTATAGGCTTTTATAATAGTACGAGGTGTGTTCAGAAAATATCGGGAATTTTCGTTTTTTGAAACAAATATTTATTTATTCGTCTACATTAATGTTGTCGCCTTTAAAATAGTCTCCATTGGATATTATGCACATGTGCAAGCTCTTCTTCCAATACTCGAAACACTTCTAAAACTCGATCTTTGAGATAGCCTTTAGTTCTTTCAGCGATACGCTTTTAATGTCATCTATGCTTGCAAAACGACGGCTCTTTAAGGTTATCTTTATTTTTGGGAATAGGAAAAAGTCAGACAGAGGCATGTCTGGCGAATATGGAGGCTGGGGCATCATTACAGTATTGTTTTTGGCCAAAAATTTTGTTCAAAATTTAACAATTTTGGAACAAATTTTGCTGCCACGCGTTTCATACCCAAAACATTTGAAAAAATTTCATGGGATGAGCCAATCGATGTACCAACATCATCAGCGACTTCTCTGATGGTTTATAACCATTTCTTCCATTTCTTCCATGTTTTTATCGGTTGTTAATGTTCTTGTGCGTTCGGGGCGTTCGTCATCTTCAACGTCTTCACGGCCATCTTGGAAACTCTTATACCACTTGTAAACTCTTGTTTTACTTATAGCAGACTCACTATAGGCCTTTGTTAACATTTCACAGAATTTATTTCATTTTTTAAGCAAAATTGGATACAAATGGATCAAAGACCATTTCTTTTAACGAACGAAAATCGCCGAGCTCATAAAACACGTCTAACCTTAGCGGCTGCCACAGACAAAGTAAACAATGAAAACAGCTAAAGTTTTTATCATACTTCGGGGGCATGTATACCAACATAATAAAGAAAATTTTATGACAACCGGACCCTCCGAACCCGCGAAATTTAACAATTCCCGTTATTTTCTGAACACACCTCGTATAAAAAGTAGTTTTTTTGACAAATTTTATGTATAAATTTTTGAGTGGATTGAACCATCATATTAACCATCATTCAATTTGTTGGGACAATGAAGCCAACAGAGGGGACCATTTTGTGACACATATGCATATTCAGCAACCCTTTGGCTCGAAAACAAAACAGGGTGCAAAAAGTCTATGATGCTTTCGGACTAAAAGTGTAAATAAAATGGTTTTCAGTGAAAGGGGGCGCCAAACAATAAGGTTGAGATGGTCTCGAATTAGAATTCAAACATTAGTTATTCATGAAAGCCTTGTAAGCGTACAAGTAAACAAAAGCAGCCGCCATAATGCTTGGCAATTACTGGGCCCTGAAGTTATCAGTCGATGGGATTGGAATTCGCGCGCCAGATGACACTCTTTTGTCTTCTGTGATATGCTCCAAGCGCAAAAAATCTGCCGAAAATTGAATTAAGTTGTAGCCAGGTCAAGAACATTACACTCTCATAAAAATCAGATTTGTAAACATACACTGAAAAAAATAATCTCTTAAAAGAAATGAAAATCACTTTGATTCAAGCGATTTCTTGTATTGGTACAAGAACCAAAAACATAATTAAGAAATTTTATTTCATTACAGATGAATCATCGCAATCATCAATAATGATACGCAGTTCGAGGTAAGTCAACTTTTTGATTGATTCAAACTGGCTAAAGTAACGTCGAAATGCTTGTAAAGTTGTTTTAAATTGTTTGATTATGCTTTTATATTTTAATAAACTTCAGCAAAGTTTCTCATAACCAGAGACATCTCAAGCGAAATGCCTTAAAATATATACAGTGTGTATTAAAACGAATAGATACACTTAAATAAAACAAGTGCCAAACCCCGCCCACTGTGGTAGGGATTGAAAGTTATTTTCATTATTTTATAATTATTTTTGTTTGAGAATTTATAGGTTTTATTTTTATCGAATTCGTTTGTTTAATGCGGAAAAATGTATTTCTTAAAAACTATACACATTTCCCTACGACAGCGTCGGAACTACTAAACAAACACAGTAGATCAAACTGCATGCCCTTGTATCTGGCTGCATGCCGCGCTGTTGCCATATTCTATTATTGTTTCCTAAAAGGGTTGTTTTTCTTATTTTTAAATTAAGAAAATTAACTAAATCAAATTATTTTTGACATATTATTAATTTTTTTGTTATTTAAAACAACCTGGCAACTATGGTTCGTAATTACCAATGGCTTGGTTTAAACCACGCCCAATTAAAGTTTGTTTCTTTTTCTCTGATCAGAATATAATTTGTCATCCTTGTCTCCAGCCTTACTTACTTGATTCTATACAGTCTGTATACTAGTATACTTAAAATGAAAAATATCCTTGCTTATCTTTATTGGTACTTCCAATGAATTTATTACAAATATATTTTTTTATTAGATTGATTTTTTCGTCAACAAAATTGTACCTGGGGGAATATACTGAGATGTCCCCCAAATGAAAATGATTATTTTTTATTTTTGGTTGTTTCACTGCAAGAATTCTAAGAAATCATACATTTAGAATATTAGAGCTTCACGGAAGATAGCTTCACGGAGGTTAGGATTTCATATGTTTTTTATTTAAAAAAAAATACAATTGTACATACCTAAAATATTTATAAGAAAATCTACTTACTAAGATATTACACTTCACGATGGATAGGTTTTTAAATAGCAAATTAAGGAACTTAAACTTTTGAATTATAAATCAGTAACACTCTCATCTGCATATAAATTCTAACTCACCTTCAGGAATCCCATGCATCTATAATGTCGTAAACAGAGGTTTTTGCTTATTTAAAACACAAGTATGTGATTTAAAATGATTAAAGCGCCATCCGTTGCATAAAATTTAAAGCAAAAACAGATTCACGGAGGATATAATCAATTTTTGTAACACCTACATAAATGGTTATAAAAATTATTTCTTTTTAGTTTTTAATAATATTTTATATTTGATTCGATTGCTTTGGATGTGTTTAATTTACTTAGGGCCGGTTTATCAATCTCTAGTTAAGTTCCAGTTAGTCTATCTGACGGTTAAATTTCATATCGATCGTTGTGAGAACAATGGTATCCATGGAAACTATCTATCAGATAACTAACTGCAACTTTAACTGGACATTGATAAACCGGCCCTTAGTGAACTGATATTTTAGTATGCTTTTACTACCTCAGATATCTCAAAACATATAGATTAACCTAGAAAGAGTACCACAACGGTAATACATTAAGACAAGGTCCGGTTGACAGCCTTAAAGCAATTTATATGGATTTAATACGAAGCTTTTAATATAACAAACTTTGCGACTAGAATGGCCATATTATTTATTGCAAAACTATGTTAATGTGCTGATAAAATTACAATTTTTTAAAATTCATGCCACATAAACCGGAGAATGTTATACCATCGATGGTTATAAATTGCTTTAAGAAGGCAGAAAATGTTACTTTAATGAAAACTTTTATTTTAAACTTGGTATGTATACAGTAATAGTAACATAACATATTATGCAATAAGCATAAAAACTAAACTAAAGCTTCAGATAAAAAATTAAAAACGTCAGGTTTTGTTGTGGCTTTTCTTTTGCAACGAAGCAAGTTTAAATTATAAACGTGTTTTCTAAATATTTTTAAAAATGTAATCAGAAAAAAGGTTTGAATTTTAATTAAGCCAGCGCGAATAAAAACTGTATTTAAATGTATTCTTCTAAAGAGTTTGTAATTTTAATTAAATATTCGAAACAATTTTCATTTAACAATTGTTATTAAAAATGCTTGATAAAATATTGTTTTAAATATTTGTGTTAAAAAAAGTTTACAAAAACAAAAATTACTGTAAACGACCTACTATACTATAAAAAGTATGAAAAAAATAATTGTATCAATTTGTTCAACAATTTTTTTAAAAATTTAATAATTTTTGGGATGCGAGGGTGGTAAAAAGAAAAATGAAACTAAATTATTAATTTAGATACGTACGAGGTGTGTTCAGAAAATAACGGGAATTGTTAAATTTCGCGGGTTCGGAAGGTCCGGTTGTCATAAAATTTTCTTTATTATGTTGGTATACATGCCCCCGAAGTATGATAAAAACTTTAGCTGTTTTCATTGTTTACTTTGTCTGTGGCAGCCGCTAAGGTTATACGTGTTTTATGAGCTCGGCGATTTTTCGTTCGTTAAAAGAAATGGATAAAAGAATTTGTATCCAATTTTGCTTAAAAAATGAAATAAATTCTGTGAAATGTTAACAAAGGCCTATAGTGAGTCTGCTATAAGTAAAACAAGAGTTTACAAGTGGTATAAGAGTTTCCAAGATGGCCGTGAAGACGTTGAAGATGACGAACGCCCCGAACGCACATGCACATTAACAACCGATAAAAACCGATAAAAACATGGAAAAAGTGGAAGAAATGGTTATAAACCATCAGAGAAGTCGCTGATGATGTTGGTATATCGATTGGCTCATCCCATGAAATTTTTTCGAATGTTTTGGGTATGAAACGCGTGGCAGCAAAATTTGTTCTAAAATTGTTAAATTTTGAACAAAATTTTTGGCCAAAAACAATACTGTAATGATGCCCCAGCCTCCATATTCGCCAGACATGCCTCTGTCTGACTTTTTCCTATTCCCAAAAATAAAGACAACATTAAAGGGCCGTCGTTTTGAAAGCATAGATGACATTAAAAGCGCATCGCGGAAAGAACTAAAGGCTATCCCAAAGATCGAGTTTTAGAAGTGTTTCGAGTATTGGAAGAAGAGCTGGCACATGTGCATAATATCCAATGGGGACTATTTTGAAGGCGACAACATTAACGTAGACGAATAAATAAATATTTGTTTCAAAAAACGAAAATTCCCGATATTTTCTGAACACACCTCGTTTTCAGCGACTTATACAAAAAATATTGAAAATAGAATACCTAAACTTAATACAAACTGACAACATAAAATTAACATAACAAAACATAAACTACAACTGAAAAATAAAATTCGTATAGCTAATTATAATAATATTGAGATATAATTCTACATAAAGTGCGTCTCCACTTAAAATAGTACAAATGTCGATAGATTAAATATGTTTTCAGCGACCAGCACAAAAATTTTATAAGGATAGAATTAAGTCAATATAAACTGAAAACATAAATTACAAACTAAAGTAAATCAATAATGTTGCACAGTAGGAACATAGAAACACTTTTTATTCCCATTTGATCACCAGGTCATAATCATTGATTTATCCCAGTCCCTGAACAATTTTACAAATACCTATCTACCTATTCTGGAAAATAATATTCAATAATTACTCACCAGAAATGTGGTACTAACCTCACAATGATACACTTCCTAACACTAACTAAAACTGCAAACTGATGATGCAGATTGCAGTTGAGCGACCGGACGGCGGCTTATTTCAAGCGGGAAATCATTTCATTGGTTATGTTAGGTGATGTGATGCTTTACTCCCGAACAAACTGTACAATATTGTAAAATTTATATTCTAACTATATTTATACGAATTATTTTAAAAATTGTACAAAAGAGTAACATTTATTTTTGAAATATTTGTAACAACAGATTTCAATTTTTTTTTGACAATATTGTGCAAATGGTTAACAAAACAATTTAAATAGCTTATTTTTAATTGGCCAGGAAGGAAATTCGATTGAAAATTTGGGAAGTTAACATTAAATTCGCGCTTAATCAGGGGCAAATTATCCCTAGACAAAGAGTTCTTTCGGGTGTGTTCCGCAGTTTAGATGGAACTAGACAATAGCCGCAAATTGTCGGACCTTCGACCTTTTGTTCGTTCTTGCACAAATTACGTCAGTTACGTTATCAGATAGCCCACTTTTTAACGTTGGAAATTTTACAATACGCTAAAGAAGCATCGCTAGTAGCGCCACCACTCGGCTGTTATCATCGTAGCAAAAGTATAACTTATGTTACAAACGAGTGTTTTTGAGAATAAAGCCGGAAAATGTTAAAAAATATCGGAAAAAAACCGTGGCTCGATTCGTTGTGTTGTTGGGTGTATTTCGAGAGGAAATCCTGGGTTGGGTTTTTACCTGTTTTCCAATAAACAGTGTTAATCTGAAAGAAGAAATAAATCGCATACAGTCTCTGTAAATATAAATTTTACCTATTATATACAATAAATACACATTTTAGTGGTGATTAACGTGAAAAGTGTAAACATTTCAATTCAGTAAAAATCTTCAAACTAATAAGTCTTCTAAATTTAAACAGCATTTAGCATTATTAAAAGCGTTGATTAAGAAAGTCTCCACTCAACGGTAAAATACCATTTTATTATGTATTATATATAATTTATTTATTTTGTTAATTTCAAAGTTTACAGATTATTTTGTTAATGTTAAACAAATTATTTTGTTGGAAAAGTACATGCGATTTCAGGCAGTCAATCAAAACATTTCCCACTGACAATACGCATCAACAAGTTCAACTGACTTCAGCGTCTGCAACTTATGTTTCTTTTAATACAGTGTTGGCCCAGGAACCACTGTAGAAAAATCTAACTCCAAAACGCCTTTTTTATTCTTTATGGAATTTTGGATAAAAATACTTCACTTTACTTTATTTAATAATGAAAAAACGTTCGAAAAA